CAGAGGCAGGTGGATTTCTGAGTTCAAGGCCAGCCTGGTCTACAGAATGAGTTCTAGGACAACCAGGGCTACACACACACACACACACACACAAAGAGTAGTGTTCTTTACATCTTGTCACCTGCCGCTTGCTGTCAAATGATGTTTTATGGACACAAATTTTGGCACCCTGCTTTCTGAGAGTTCTGAATTCCCTGTACTATCCCATTGCCAATGTGCTGTCATGGAAAGGGAATGTGTAATGCAAAGAACAAACTGAATTATCAGCTCAATCTGTGCTGTGTGACCCAAGATGACAAGCACATTGCTTAACCTTGGAGAACCTTATATTCCCTACCTGCAGCAAGAAAACTAGCAGCTGAAATCACGCTGGTACAGATTAAAGGAAACCATAAGATCACAATAGGGTGGTGTGATGGCTTGAATAGCAATGGTCCCCCCTAGATTCATGTGTTTGAATGCTTGACCCATAGGAAGTGGCACTATTAGGAGGCAAGGCCTTGTTGGAGTAGGTGTGACCCTGTTGGAGGAAGTATATCCCTGTGGATCTGGGTTTTGAGGTCTCCTATGTTCAAGCTACACCTAGTGTGGTGCACAGTCTCCTTTTGCTGCCTGAAGATCAAGATGTACAACTCTCAGCTCCTGCAACACTATGTCTGCCTTACAAGTGCCATGCTTCCTGACATGATGATAATGAACTAAACCTCTGAAACTGTAAGCCAGCCCCAATTAAATACTGTCCTTTATAAGAGTTGCCTTGGTCATGGTGTCTCTTTACAGCAATAAAACCCTAAGACAGGTGGTGACTGGCATTCAGTGGATGCTTAATAAATGCTCTCTGCTGCCTGGGAAGTTTTACAAGATCCTTTAGAAGCTAAAGGTTAGGCATTACTATGATTTTTCCTTAATGGTAGTGAAAGAGAAATGAGTGACAGCACCTTGCAATGCCTGGGGCTGTAGGACCCCACTCCTCCTTCACCACAAAGAAGAGTCAGGATGACTGGGGACAGAGCAACAGCTCCTGAGTTTAATGGAGTGGACAGAATCCAGTGCTGCATTTTCTACAGATGGGCATTTCCTACTTGCTGAGCTGAATAACTCCTTTTTGTAACAAGGATAGCAATGTCAAGTCAACAGCTTCTGGGGACTCAGGCAGCATCTCAGTGACAGAAGGAACTGCTTGCCACTTAAAGTGCTTTCCACTGCACTTTCTACTATCATCCGCCTCTGCTGAAGGGTATTCAGCAGGATGCAAACAGCCGTCACTGTGTGGAAGAGGAAAGCAGGCATTTTAAATGCAAGCAAGGCAGTGAGAGCTGGGAGGCCACATAGTTTCCTCACCTCCTGCCTCCTCTGACTAACATGCTCCCCCGAGTGTCTGGTTTCTTCTGAATAGTATTTCCAGAAACATGGCTGGAGCCAGGTTGTTACTGTAGTTGTTTGCTTTGTTTGTTTTTTCAGCTTTGCAAGAGCACATTCTGCGTATAGTATGGGTCTCTCGTTTCCAGTGTAGAAATCAATTGTGGGATCACTACCATAAATCAGTTTTAGACCGGTTTGGTTAGCAGCCCGAGATCCTCCTCTTCCGTTAACTGTTCACCTCTCTTCCCATCCTCTCCCCTCTGCAACCACTAATCCACCAGCTCTACAGATGAGTTCTGAGAAACATTGTTATTTGGAAGAGAAGGGTTTTTTTAAAGCTTTTTTCAATCTGGAACACATCCCACCGTCTTTATGACTACAGTTTCCTGATCCATTTTTCTGGAAAGAGACTCTCTTGGGCTTCTCCTGTCTTGACTGATGTGAATAATGCATAATGTATAAAAAAAAATTGTTTGCGTAAGCTCTTGTTTGGAGTCCTTCCTTCCCACACCTAGAGGTAGAATCACTGACTGCATGGTGAGTCACTGTTTAATATCTAAGGAACCACTGTGTTTATTTCTATAGTAGTGGCCATATTACGTTTTGTTCCTGTCAGCAACACAAACATTAATCCTGTCCCATCTGCACCAACCACTGGTACTTTCTGTGTGCTTGAGGTGTGTGTGTGTGTGTGTGTGTGTGTGTGTGTGTGTGTCTGTGGTGTGGTGTGTTTGTCTGTCTGTGTTGTGGTGTGTGTATTTTGTCTGTGTGTATGTGTGTATGTGTAGGTGTGTATGTCTGTATGTATGTATGTGGTATGTATGTATCTTTTGTCTATATGTCTGTATGTGTGTGGTATGTTTCTTTTTTTAAAGAATTATGTATGTATGTATGTATGTATTTAATGTATAGGAGTATACTGTAACTGTCTTCAGGCATACCAGTAGAGGGTATCAGTTCTCATGACAATTGGTTGTGAGCTACCATGTGTGGTTGCTGGGAATTGAACTCAGAACCACTGGAAGAGCAATCTGTGCTCTTAATTGCTGACCCAACTCTCCAGCCCTGTGTGTGTTTCTTTTAAGATATTATGACAACGATCATGATGCTGATGTAGCTTATTATTATTATCTATGTGGAGAGAGTTCGTGTGAGTGCAGGTGCCCTCAGAGGCTAGAAGATGGCTTTGGATGTGCTGGCACTGGAGCAGTAGGCAGTTGTGAACCACCTGGTGTACATGCTGGAAAAGAACTCAAATCCTCTGCAAGAACAACACATGCTCTTAACCACTGGGCCACCTTTCCAGTCCCATTTGTGTTTTTTCCAGCCAGTCTAATTGGTGTGCAGTGGATATCTCTCTGTCGTTTTGACTTGCATTTTCTAATGTCTGTTTGACCATGTTTCAGTGTGCTTTGGCCATCTGTGCACTCTGGGGAGCAGTGTGTTGCCATCTTTTGACCCTTTCCTAATCAGGTGGCTTCACTGATGTGGGGTCATAGTGTTCTTTATATATTATTAACCCCTTAAAGAATGGTTAGACATTCTCAGCCCATTCTGTGGATTGTATTTTTATTTTCTTTTTTGTTTTTTTTTGTTTGTTCTTGCTTTGTTTTGTTTTGTTTTGTTTTGTTTTGTTTTGTTCTGATTTGTTTGAGACAGGGTCTTTCTACATAACCCTGAATGCCCTGGAACTCGTTATGTAGACAGAGCAGGCTGGCCTGGAACTCACAGAGATCTGCTTGGCTAGAACTAAAGGCATACACCATTACACCCAGCTTGCCTCTCCACTTTCTTGATAGAATTCTTTGATGCAGAAAACATTTTAATTGTTTTGAGGTTCAATCTATTAGGGTTTTTGTTGTTGTTGTTGTTGTTTTGTTTGTTTATTTTGGTTTTGGTTTTTGGTTTTTAAATTTTGTTTTTGTTGGAGGGGAGGTTGGTTGGTTTTCTGCTGTGTTTGTTTGTTTGTTTGTTGCCTGAGCATTTAGTGGAAAAAGCATTGGTTTTTGCTTTCATAAAACCAGAGAAACCCGGCACATACCTTTAGTTTGAGTCACACACTCGGAAAGCAAAGGCAGGTGGATCTCTGTGAGTTGGAGGCTAGCCTGTTCTACATAGTTGAGTTCTAGGACAGCTAGAACTACATAGTGAAAAGTCATTTCAAAAATACATATATACATACATACATCAAATAAATACATAAATCCAAAGGAAGAAAGCCTGTATATGAAAATCAAACAGGAAAACAAAACCACCTGAGGCCATAATGGGAAATCAGCTGTTTCTCTAGAATTAGTTCTCTAAACATTCGGTTGTTTCCACCACATTTCTTGGCATGGGTTAAACAGCAGCTGCTGCGGCCCCTGAGTGTGAGATGCAGCTAACACGTCAGACAGACCAAGATCCAAGTACTTGCTGGTTCCAGAGTCCTTTTAGTCCCAAATGACAGAAAGGCAGTTTAAAACAGCTCAGACAGAAAAGGGAAATTACATGTTCATGTGGCCAAAATGCAGAGCTGGTTTTAACCCGAGCCCGATGCTGTCTCTCAATCATTTCAGGCTTTTCTTTCGTCTTTTTTTTTCCTCTCTCTCTACTGTGACCTGAATGTTCATTTCCCCACCCCCACTTCAAATGCTGAAACCCCAGCCTTCAAGGTAATGGGAGTTGGTGCCTTTAAGAGGTGTTTAGTCAGAGTCCTGATGACAGTAATTTGTTTCCTTATAAAAGAGGCCTAGAGAGTACCCTTGCCTTTCAAGTGAAGTTATCAGGAAAAGATGACCACCTATAAACCAGAAAACAGTCTCTCATTAGACAGTGTGTCTGCTGGCACCTTGATTTAAGACTTCTCAGCCCTGGGTGCTAGAAATAGAGTCCATGTACCGTGATTATAAACCACCTGGTTTATAAACCACCTGGTTTATAACAGCTGACAGGAAAAGCACTCTCCCATCTGTCTCTCTCTCATCCTCTAAATGGCTTGGTTTTGGTTTAGACTTCCTGTTACCTATTGGCCCATTCCTGTGCATTGTGTGTAACTTCCTTTGTGTGGCTGGGGGGTGTGGTCATGAGATATATCTTTGCCTAGCTTATCTTACTATACTGTCCAAGTCCCAGTGAATGCTGATAAGGTCTCTTTGGATCATGTGCCCATCTCTGAATCAGTCTCTATGGCCTGGGAAATGGAAAACTCTTGACTAGTGGTTCATTGTCTTAGGGGATTGTGAACATGCCCAAAACACTGTGAACATGTTACTGAGCATGTGCCTGGTTTCCTTCAGTGGTATCATTCTCTGTTAAATTTGGTGGGATGTTTCTCATTTGACTATATACATATACACATACACATACGCATACACACACATATATATATGAAAACATGCTCTTATAAGATAAAGACTTTTTGATCCATGAGAATTTCCAATAGAATAAGTATCTGACCAAGCCTATAGGATGGGAGAAGAGCTGATTCTCAGGAAGGGGCTCTATGTCCATGGAATCCAGCCAGTGAGTGAGCTGTGTTAAAAGGATAACAATAACCATGGCTGTACTTCTGAACGGTGTGGGGTTTAGAGCCACAGTCCCACTATTCTCCTGCATGATAGACCCTGAGCACTATTTTCTGTTATTTTTCTCTGCAGGGAACTTTCAACTGATTGCAGACCCGGTTTCTTTTGAAACTGTGGCTGATTTAATCCATTCTGTCCGACTTCCCCAGAGTCCTGTAGCCCATAGAAGTCCTCCCCGCTTCCAGAACTTAATCCCCATCTCCACAGATGATGTGCCCGTGAAGCTCAGGAAAGGAGAAACACTGTCCTTAATTGGCTTTGAAGAGAGTCAGGGGAGGAAGCTGCTGCGATGCGAGGTGCTGAGGAAGAAGCCCCCACTGAAACTCCTCCTCCCCATGGACTGCAGGGGCTACTTCCTGGAATGCCAAGATGACCAGTTCTACTCCATTGATACCATCGTGAAGTGGAAGCTGCTTGCAGGGAGGAAACGCAGGGTTAGGGTGCAAGCAGGACATCGTCTAAGGCTTCTTAGCCCCCTGGTTCCAAAGCACTTTACAGGACATTTAGTTTTGCATCCCTATTTCTCAGTGATGGCGTATCTGCCAGGTAAGTAATGCAAAATAGTTTGGAGCATTGTGTTAGTCTGTTTTCTAATCCTAGAACAAAAATCCTTGAGGAGGGGACGCTTATTTAAAAAAAAAAAAATGAGGTTTTATAAATCAGCTCTGGAGAGTGAAAGGGCGTGACACAAGCTCCGGCAGAACTTCACAGTGGGTGAAGTCACCACGGCAGGGTTTTGCACTAGAGAAAGATCGTGTGGTAAGACAGGAAGCCATAGCAGGGAGTCAGTATCGCTGTCCTAAGACCCTCTCTTGAGAAAAGAGCAAGCCAGTGTGCTACTAGAACTGCCTTGATCCTACCATGTCTTAACATCACCCCTCTAGGGGCCAGGTTTTTAGAACAGGGATCTTGCGGGACAGGCTTAGATCATATTCAAGTACCCGTGCCACAGGCGATGAAAGAACAACGCCCCCTACAGGCGTGGGAGGGTATTTGCTTCGAGGCCTTGTGATGGACTAAAAAGCAGTGGCTCTGGGCTGGGCAGGCAACTTGCCAAGGCCCAAAGATTTGTAGATTGGTGGGGTGAGGAACCCCGGAAACAGCTGCAAAGATCCCATTTTCGGAAAGCGGTTAGATCTCACCTCACTGGCCTCACCCCTTGATTTATGAAGAACTATCAGATGCTGAAGATGCATTCCCCCCGAGAGATGATTTATCCTCTGAGTTACATATCTGCTCCATCCCATCGGCCAACATTACACTCTTATCATCATATATATTTAAACACATTCCTGTAGTAGACCTAAGATGCTTTAATTTTACTCCCTTAATAAATATCCATACCGTGGTGACAACCAGGTGGGTTGGTGAGCAGATAAAAAAGAAGTCTCTCCTTTGAGAAAATTTATTATTGATGTATTTTCTTATATGTTATCATAAAAGCTAGTCCCTCACCACCCATTAGTTTTATGGTGTTGTTTATGGTCCACGTGAAAGCCAGGTTCCAGTGCATTCTTTCATCTTCTCACCAACCCTGTCACTTTATCGTCCTTTGCAGAAAAGAAATGCTGCATTATATTAAGCATGAATTTACAGCAGCCTTAAAATTTCGCTTGCCGGAAGATCCCTTTAAGTAAGCAATGGTTGTAAAAGACTAATTTAGCTCCGCGGTCAGGCATGAAGATTCCTGGTCGCCATTGTTGGGTTTCCAGTAGAAACCTTGCTTTGATTTGTTGCTACAGCTTTGTTTATTGGCCATATTTAGACTGACTGTGACATGTTCCCCGAACCCTCGCTCCACACTGTCTCCACAGCTCATGTCTGTTTTTTTATTCTCAGTCTGCTCAGTCTTTTGAGTAACGAGCCGACAACAGCTGTGGGTGTGATGGAAGGGGTTGGTCTAGCATCGCAGCCCCGAGGGTCACTCACCTGTGTGCAGTTTGAAAATGACCCCAGAAGCAGCTTTCTCACCTGTTCATCTAAGAGTCAGTCCTCTTCCCAATCGATTGTTGGTGAGCAGCTTCTCTCCTTGTCAAGATGAATGAATAGTGCTTATTGCTAAAAATAACGAGGCAAGACTGAGGCTGTGGCCTAGCGGTCGATCATGTGCTTAGCATGTGTGAAGCACTAGGTCTAATCCATAGCACTGAAAGGGTGGAAGAGGTTGGAGAGATGGCTTCTGTGGGGACATGCATACATATGACGTATATACACATATATGCACACATACACACAAACATGAATAAAAACAAATAAGTCATTTTAAATCACTCAAAGTGACTATATTAGAAATCAACTGAGAAATTGAAAACAAGTTTATTTATACTCACTTTAGAATAACAATAAATGTATTTCATCTTCAAAAATAGTTGGCAGACCAGTAAGATAGCTTGGAGATGATTTTTAAAAAAGGACATACATAGTTAAACCTTCTGGTCATTTTCACATTTTGATTTTTAAGGAAAACCTGAATGTGGGGAGGGCTGATAAATGAGAGGCAGATGCTTGTTCCTTGTGTTGTGTAAATGTTGGCTCTTTTCATTGTCTGGTCAATGCCATCTTCCATTTGGAATTTCTGAAGTTTAAAAGAATACATGGAGATACATGGAGATCCCCCTAATACTACCATAATAGTAAGATGCATCTTCAAAGATAATTTAAACAAAGGGACAGAGACTGGGGCTGGCCTGTGAAGATGGTATCAACCCACCTTCCTTGCTTCACAGAATAGCTAACCAAGAAACGGAAGTACTAATTGTACTTAGGAACGTGAAGGAGGAAGAGGAATTCCGACCACACTGCTGCTCTGTGCCCCAGCCAGGCTGGCCTAGGATTTGCTAATTGCACAAGGAAGGATAACTGTTTTCTGAGACTGTCTCCTATATTCTGTCTAGAGATGCTTTTGCATCTTTCACAGCCAATGAGTGCTTCCTGGCTCTGAAGAAGAATGTGGATTCTTTTTATCAATCCTGTATTAAATTCTTCTCTTAAATTCATATATATATATATATATATGAAACAACACCCTTCACAATAGTCACAAACAATATAAAATATTTTGGTGTGACTCTAACCAAACAAGTGAAAGATATGTATGACAAGAACTTCACGTTTCTGAAGAAAGAAATTGAAGAAGACCTCAGAAAATGGAAAGGTCTCCCATACTCATGGATTGGCAGGATTAATAGAGTAAAAATGACCACCTTGCCAAAAGCAATCTACAGATTCAATGCAATCCTTATTGCAAATTCCAAATTCCAAATTGAATTCCAAATCAATTCTTCACAAAGTTAGAAAGAGCAATTCTCAAATTCATTTGGAATAACAAAAAAAAAAAAAAAAAACCCAGGATAGCGAAAACTATTCTCAACAATAAAAGAACTTCTGGAGGAATCACCATCACTGACCTCAAGCTGTACTACAGAGCAATAGTGATAAAAACTGCTGGTACAGAGATAGGCAGGTAGATCAATGGAATAGAATTGAAGACCCAGAAATGAACCCACACATCTATAGTCACTTGATCTTTGACAAAGGAGCTAAAACCATCCAGTGGGGGGGGGGGGGAAGACAGCATTTTCAACAAATGGTGCTGGTTCAACTAGAGGTCAGCACATAGAAGAATGCAAATCGGTCCATTCTTATCTCCCTGTACAAAGCTCAAGTCCAAGTGGATCAAGGACCTCCACATAAAACCAGATACATTGAAACTAATAGAAGAGAAAGTGGGGAAGAGCCTTGAACACATGGTCACAGGGGAAAAGTTCTTGAACAGAATACTAATGGCTTATGCTCTAAGACCAAGAATTGATAAATGGGACCTCATAAAATTGCAAAGCTTCTGTAAGGCAAAAGGCACTGTCAATAGGACAAAATGGCAACCAACAGATTGGGAAAAGATCTTTACCAATCCTACATTCGATAGAGGGCTAATATCTAATATATACAAAGAACTCAAGAAGTTAGACTCCAGAGAACCAAATAAACCTATTTAAAAATGGGGAACAGAGCTAAACAGAGAATTCTCAACTGAAGAAACTCAAATGGTTGAGAAATGTTTAACATCCTTAGTCATCAGAGAAATGCAAATCAAAACAACCCTGAGATTCCACCTCACAGCAGTCAGAATGGCTAAGATCAAAAACTCAGGTGATGGGGTTGGGGATTTAGCTCAGTGGTAGAGCTCTTGCCTAGCAAGCACAAGGCCCTGGGTTTGGTCCTCAGCTCTGGAAAAACAAAACAAAAAACAAAACAAAACAAAAACCCTCCGGTGATAACAGATGCTGGCGAGGATGTGGAAAAAGAGGAGCACTCCTCCATTCCTGGTGGGATTGCAAGCTGGTACAACCACTCTGGAAATCAGTCTGGCAGTTCCTCAGAAAATTGGACATAGTACTACTTGAGGACCCAGCTATACCACTCCTGGGCATATACCCAGAAGATGCTCCAACATGTAATAAGGGCATGTGATCCACTTGTTCATAGCAGCCATATTTATAATAGCCAGAAGCTGGAAACAACCCAGATGTCTCTCAACAGAGGAATGAATACAGAAAATCTGGTACATTTACACAATGGAGTATTACTCAGCTATTAAAAACAATGACTTCATGAAATTCTTAGGCAAATGGATGGAACTAGAAAATATCATCCTGAGTGAGGTAACTCAGTCACAAAAGAACACACACAGTATGCACTCACTGATAAGTGGATATTAGCCCAAAAGTTCGGAATACCCAAGATTCAGTTCACAGACCATATGATGCTCAAGAAGAAGGAAGACCAAAGTGTGGATGCTTCAATGCTCCTTAGAAGGCGGAACAAAATACTCACAGGAGGAAATATGGAGACACAGTGTGGAGCAGAGACTGAAGGAAAGGCCATCCAGAGACTGCCCTACCTGGGGATCCATCTCATATACAGTTACAAAACCCAGACACTATTGTGAATGCCCAGAAGTGCTTTCTGACAGGAGCCTGATATAGCTGTCTCCTGAGAGACTCTGCCAGAACCTGACAAATACAGAGGCAGATGCTCGCAGCCATCCATTGAACTGAGCACGGGGTCCCCAATGGAGGAGTTGGAGAAGGGACTGAAGGAGATGAGGGGGTTTTCAGCCCCATGAGGGGAACAATAATGTCAACTGGCCAGACTCACCAGAAGTCCCAGGGACTGGACCACCAACCAAAGAGTACACATGGAAGGACCCATGGCTCTGGCTGCATATGTGGCAGAGGATGACCTTGTTGTTGTCAGTGGGAGGAGTGGCCCTTGGGCCTGAGGGTGTTCCATGCCCCAGCGTAGGGGAATGCCAGGGCAGGAAGACAGGAGTGGGTGAGTGGGAGGGCACCCTTACAGAGGCAGGGGGAGGGGGATGTGATGGGGGTTTCCGAATGGGGGACGTGGAAAGGGGAAACAATTGAAATGTAAATAAAGAAAATATCCAATAAAAAATATGAAAAAAAAAGAGGATTGTAAAGTGTAGGCACATGAACAACCACATGAATCCATTAGCAGTGATTTCTTCCAAACTCACGCCTTTCTCAAAAGCCTCACACTGTCTCCCTTTTGACTTTCCCAGGTGAGACCCAGGTTAGCATCCTCTCTGATCTGGACATCAGTGTTACTGAGATTGCCTGCTTAGATCGTAAGCCCAAGACAACAATGAGACAAATATACAGCATGGAAGAAAACAAGTTCCCGGTGAGAATTAAAATAATGAGCATGGTCCGGTCGGAGAACAAGATGTACCCGAAGCCTCTGAAGTGTGGGCAGCTCTTAACCATCCTCAAGACTAAAGATGTGAAAAAATTTGTTGCCACTGAGATTTCCCAAGGAAAGAAAGGGAGGCGTTTTCTCATCCCACACACCTATCAGGGCCTGGTGCTTAGGAGAGGTCGTTATTTTTATGCTGTCTCTGATGTTGCTGCTGCCATGAGACATGGACAGATCTGCTTCCAGGCCTCCAGGGACTACACCTCCTCCCTGGGACCTTTTGCATCTTTCACAGCCGGTGAGTGCTTCCTGGCCCTGAAGAAGAGTGCGGTGTCTGCCAAGATTCACAATAAGCTACACAGGGTGGAAGTCCTTAAGTGTGTGAATATTACCACCAAAGCCCATGTCAAACTGCCTTTGTTCGCAGTAGGAGAGTTCCTGGAGCTGTTTGATGATGCTGGACCAGGGACCCTGCTGGAGCTATGCCAAGTCACGAAACTGCCATGCCACATCAGAGTGGCCAACCCAGATCCCTCCATGACTAGAGATCCTCTGTATGGAACTGAGGAACTGAGAATTGAAAATGTCATCATTGAACAATGCCTCATAGCTAAAGACGAACCATCAAAGGAGGACATAATCTCCTCAGAAGACATATACACAGAGTGGCCAGAAGCCACATTTGAAATCCCAATTGAGAAGTCAAGCTGTGAAGTCTTGGTGGTGGAAGAGCGTTCATGGATAGCGGATGTTGGGAAAGAGAGATACACGCCTCTCCAGAGCATCCAGGAGGTCACTAAAGAGTCTCTGGCCTTTAGTAATTACTTGATCATTCCCTGTCCACCGCCACTTGCTCCGAAGCCCAGAAGATTGTTTTAAAACAGAAAATGTGACTATTCTCCCTTGCTTTGTTTACAGAATCACCAGCACGCTCAGGAACTGTGTATTTGGATCTCTAGAGCCAAAAAGGAGCCCCCAGAGGTGGGAGCCCAGATGAAATCGCAGGTGTTGAAACACTATTTCCAACACCCCTGTACATTTGCTATAAGTTGTGTTTTCATTCTGTTACTGTGACAAAATGCTTGCAATAGATAATCAGCTCATAGGGGTCAGAGGGGAAGATTCCTTTGGTTTCAGAGTTTCAGAGATTTGAGTCATGATCACTTAGCCCCACTGCCATCACAGTGGAAATGTGCAGTGGATCAAAGCTGCCCACCTCATGCCTGTTGGGCAGGAAGCAGAAAGGTTCCCATGTTCCTTTCTATATGCCCCCAGTAATATAACCCCCTTCATCAAGGCACTGCCTGTTGATGGTTTCATGATCTCCCAAAAGCACTATGCACTAGAGACCAAGTCTTTAACACACGAGCCTTTGTGGGACTCCATTGCAGCTGGGCTGGAGAGATGGCTCAGTGGTTAAGAACACTGACTGCTCTTTCAGAGGTACTGAGTTCAATTCTCAGCAACCACATGGTGGCTTACAAACCATCTGCAGTGTGATCTGATGTCAGCTTCTGAAGTGTGGTTGAAGCTACAGTGTACTCATATATGTAAAATAAATAAAAATGTATAAAGACCATCCCAGCTGCCTGGGAGACAGACTTTTTCCTTGATGTGCATGGGAAGTAGGGCTCTGATACTGTGCATGGCTACAGCACTCTTCTTTCAATTAAGGTAAAATTCTATTTATTCAGCAGGAATGTGTGTTTGTCATCAAACATGACTGTCCATATGGTCCCAGGTTTGGAACCACCTCCTCCCATTTCCTTCACTGTAAGAGTGCCTGGCATGTAGTACACACTCAAATAAATCTCTTGGATAAATAATTGAGAGCACACTTTAATTTGTTAGCACCTCCGTTGGTACTGTGTCTGCCTCTTGCCACTCTGTAAGGAAGGTGCCCCCCCACCCCCCACCCCCCCACCCCTGGTTGCTCAAAGCAAACAGCTGGAAAACTTTCCCTTACCCATCCAATTAATCAAAAGGTCACCATGTCCAACCAGTTTCTACAATTCCTATTTTTTAAAGATTTATTGCAGGGCAGTTGTGGCATACGCCTCTAATCCCAGCACTTGGGAGGCAGAGGCAGGTAGATTTCTGAGTTCGAAGCCAGCCTGGTCTACAGAGTGAGTTCCAGGACAGCCAGGGCTACACAGACAAACCCTGTCTCGAAAAAGAAATATTTATTTATTTATTTATTTAATATATAGGAGTACACTGTAGCTGTCTTCAGACACATCAGAAGAGGACATCAGATCCCACTACAGATGATTGTGAGCTACCATGTGGTTGCTGGGAATTGAACTCAGGACCTCTGGAAGAGCAGTCAGTGCTCATAATCGCTGAGCCGTCATCTCTCCAGCCCCCGACAATTCCTGTTAAATCTCTTACCTCTCACCTTTGCCCAGTTCCGTCTCAGACCCTTGTCGGGATCAACATGTCTCTCTTCTCATTGTTAATCTTCTATCGAGTCCAACCACTTTCCTGTCCGCTCTCCATTCTAAGCAAAGAGATACCTCAAGACCAACATATGAAGAGATGTCTAAGCAAAGAGATACCTAAGCAAAGACCAAAATATGATGAGATAAACCCTTCAGAGCCCAACTGTCTCTATTGTCTTAAGATAAAGTCCAGTCATCTAGAGCAATTCCTAGGGCTGTTCATCTACTGTCCAGTAGCCTCTGACCTCTACCCTAGCTTGTTTCTCTATCACTCTGAGCTCCAGCCAGACCAGACATATTCTGGATTTCCCTGGTATGGCTTTGAACCCATGGTTGCAACATCAGTTTGCCTTCTCCTTCTACTTTCTTAAGCATAACTTCTTCCCATTCTCCAACTAACTTGCTGTGCACTGCACCCCTCCAAGTGACTTCTCTGTGCTTCAAGTCCAGCTTAGTCTCTGCTCTACCTACTTCAGAATCATAGTCCAATGGATAAAAATGGACGGTGCTGGCAGGTGGAGAGACAGCTTAGCAGTTAAGAGCACTGACTGCTCTTCCAAAAGGACCTGGGTTCAATTCCCCAGCACCCACATGGCAGCTCTCAACTGGTACTTCCAGTACCAGAGTATCTGACACCCTCACACAGACAGACATGCAGGCAGAACGCCAATGTGTGTGAATTAAATCAATAAATCATTTAAAAACAAAAAAGTGGACAGCACTGTGGTTAGATAGATGATGACTATATCCTCCACAGTGACAGCTCCTCCTCTGGAGCTTTGTGTTCACCCTGCCAACTGGATAATCCTGACTTCAACTGGATAATCCTGACTCCAACTGGATAATCCTGACTTCTACTCTCTGGTTGTAGAACTGAAGGAGACAGTCTGTAAGACCAGAGCACAAGGCCTGTAGTATATGTATGTGGGCAGCCACTAGACAGGTGCTCAATGACTGTGTCTCCACCGCTTCTCTGTGGCGGTTGAAATGAGCAATGTCCTCCACAAGCTCTGGTAGTTTGTGGCACTATTTGGAGATGTTATGGAGCCTTTAGGTAGCGTCAGAGGAAGCATGTCCCTGAGGGCACACTTTGAGAATGTAGAGTCTCCTCCCGTTTCCAGTTTGCTTTCTGTGTTTCCAACTTACAATATAAGATGCGAACGACCACTCAGCTCATTGTGCTCGCAGTAAAAGATGTGATCGCTCAGCTCCCTGCTCCTGCCTACCACTTGCTGACAAGCTTTCCTGCTGTAACAGACTCGAAGTCCTCTGGGACCACACACCAAAACCAACTCTTCCACAGACTGCTTTTGGTCATGGTATCTTATTGCTACAGAAAAAATAACTGATACTCCTTCCCCGCCTTAGTTAGTATCACAAAGTCACTTCAGTGCAGGAGGACATCTGCCTTCACTGAAAAATCTTAATAGAAGTATAATGAAAGTCAAGAGCTTGGAAACTGGCTAAATAGGGTGGATCAGAGAGTGTGGAACCAGGGGCCAATTCTGTTTTGGACCATGCTTTAGAGCTGTGTCAACCAGAGAGCAAGAACTTCTCTGTGACTTCTCAAACACCAGAGCCTGAGGAGGATATTTCTCATTTCAACCACCATGGAGAAGCGGTGAAGACACAGTCGTTGTCTAGTGGCTGCCCATATATACTACAGGCCTTGTGCTGTGCTCTTACAGACTGTCTCCTTCAGTTCCACAATAATGAGTGAATGGGAATCAGTATTATATCGGTTGGCAGGGCCAGTTGCTATGTCTAGTGCGATGTGTGATTGCTAAAGGTTCCTTGCTCAGAGTATCTGTGTTCTGTTTCCCTCTGGGGAAACAGAAAACCCAGTTTGCCAGTCTGGCAAGAGGTCTGAGAACAGAGTAGGAATCTGGAAGGGCTTTGGAGACCAGTGGCTTACTTGGAAGATGGTCCTGGGATGTAGAGGTGAATACACCAGGAGAGAGAGGGAAACAGTACAAGCCATCTCATGGGCAGATCCTGCTGTGGGCCACAGCATAGGCACCCATTTATTTGCCTATGTCTGTTCTGTGGCTGCCTATACCCTATAATGTAGAGATGAACAGTTATGATAGAGACTTAGTCCAGTCCACCAAACCTAAAATATTTTCTGTATGGCCATTTAAAGGAAAAACTTGCCAACTCTGGTTTGGACCATGCTTCAGAGCTGTGCCAACCAGAGAACAAGAACCCCTCTATGACTTCTCAAGGACTAGGAAATCTGAGGACCTTAATTTGTCTCTCCCTCGGTCAGGCATGCTCTTAAAATGGCTATGTCAGATTCACAGGTTCTTATAGTAAGAAATTGATTGCATATTTAGATAGCAGTCAGTGCCAAAGTGAGCCAGGCAGGGCACAGACAGCTCCTGCTACAGGGGAATGTCTCCAAGTATACTCATTCTGAGTAGGCATCCATCATGGTGCCTGGGGGAAATAGCTTCATGTAAACCCATGGGAAGGAGCAATTATGGAAACTAGCTTGTACATAATGAGATTGTCCTGTTATGAGTATCTTCTCTAGAGATGGGACAGTGTGTAGGCCCTGTGTAGTGAATGTGCTATACTGTTACATCCTGATAGACCAGGATGAGCTTGCTTCAGAGACTGTGCTGGAAGATGACTCACAGAAGCAAGCTTCGTGTGTACAAGTAAAGATGTTAGAAAGACAAGCTATGGAGACCCAGGGTCTGGGGATCTGGCTGAGCACAGAGCTGTCTCCCTCAAATCTCTAATGCCTAAAACTTTGAAGGAGTGAGCACAAAGAGAAAATAGAATTTTGCCAGCCTGAGAAATGCAAGTAATAGGACACCCAAGTTTATGCCTGAAACTACAGATGTTATGGCCTCTCAATGTAAAAGAGAACTTGGAAGAGAATGAGGGAGGTCTCCCTTCTCGCAATGGAACCAGAAGCAAATGTGGTCTCCCTTTCCTTGTCCCTCACACATTGTGTTCATGTAGCTCTTTTATTTATGATATTTATTAGAATTACTTACAGGTTGTGCTTCAGCTAATTTAATAATGACACCTATGTACAGAAGATTCAAGAGTCCAGTAGTTGCTCAGTCCACAGGGCTGGGTGTCTCAACTGGTCTTAGTGTATGCCAGAATCCTGAAGAAGCAGCTCTAAGGCCAGTGAAAGAATGGATTTGCTAACAAAAGGAGACAGCAAGCAGGCAGAGAGCAAAGCTTTCTTCTTGTAGGACATTATACACAGCAACAGTTCTCACCCCTTCAAAGGGTCATGTATAAAATCCAGGCTCTACTAGCTTACTGTTTTCAGAGTAGACTCTAACCCTGGATCTTTGCATCTCGTGAGCACAGGAGACTTTGCACACCTGGGTGACTCTGTATCTGTCAGAACCTCACAGTCCTATAAATCTGACAGGAGATTTGAAAGACACCCTGCTCTTCCCTAGACTCTTC